TTAGCAATACACTCTTCCTATAGATAAAAAATGGTGATAGGTCCATACCATAATTCTTTCTTTGTTAAAACCCCCTAGAATATTTATTTCTAATCTTACCTTTGTACTATCTATCACATTTTTTTTTAATAATTATCCAGGATTTACAAAATTCCTATTAATGAGGCACATAAATCCCACTAATTAGGATTAATTAGTATAATATATCTCAATTATTACTTTTTTTCTCTCTTTCCATAACAACAATCTAGAGGTGAACAAATGGCCCGCCCGGCCCGCCCGCGGCCCATGAACACCGGCCCGTCTGGCCCACGGGCTCAGCCCACCCGGCCTACCATTTTCACGGGCCGGCCCGCTCGGCCCATGGAGGAAAACCATGAGCTCAGCCCGGCCCTTTAGCCCATTTTTCCGTATTTTGACGGGCCCAACGGGCCCAAGGCAAAAAATTAAAAAAAAAAATTTAAAAATTATATAATTATATAGAATGAGTTTATAAATTATAAAATTATTTAAAATTATTTTATAAGTAAGATACATATTTATTAAAGTATTTTTTGATATTTTATTAGTATAAATAAAAATAAACTCATAAAACTAACAGAAGTGAAATAACAGGAAAACAAACATAAGCAAAATATTTTATAAGTTTATAGAATCAAATGTAACATAAACAAAGTAACAGAAGCAAAAATAGAAAAATAAAATTAAGGAAAAGTTACAGAAGGAAGTATAGGAAAATTACAAGGAATTTTTTTTCAAGTTCTTGATTCTTTTTTCCTTTCATTATGCTCTTCAAATTGTCCTTTAGAATTCTTCAAACTAATCTTCAAATTTGTTGTAGTTGGCCTTCAATAACCTTCACCGCTAAATTCCCCACGTATGTCATATTCATCGGGACTATCGTCATCTTTGCCTTGGTTGTTTTGTTGTTGACTCCGTTCTTGATTTCGTAATTCGGCTTCAATCCAATCTTGCGTGCAAACCAACGCCTCCACATTTCTTGGTGATAGTCTATTTCTCTCGGCAGTTAAAATTTTTCCACCTGCACTAAAAGCCGCCTCCGATGCTACCGTGGACACCGGAGTGTTTAGTAGATCACGTGCCATCATAGAAACAACAGGATAATGGTGAGCATTTTCTTGCCACCACTTCAAAATATCTAAGGATTCATATTCTTCCGGGGTGTTATGGTAACTTCGAAATTCTAAATAACGAACTAGTTCATTAGTTCCACTACTACGTACATCATCTTCCTCTAACAAGCTCCAAGTAGATTTGCGATTTTTTTTTGAACTAGATTGGCTAGAAGATGAAATTGAAATGTTTGTACCAAAAACCTTCTTATACTCCTCGTACAAGCTATACAATAATTTTTCAACTTCCTCGTATTTTCTCATTGCGGTGCCGGCTACTTTCGATGGGGACAATTCGGAACACATGTGTGTATAGTATCCTTTGAAGGACCCAATTATCATCGATCCAATGTGCCGTTATACATACATACCCATGCTCATTATTATGTCTCGGAGTCCAAGCATCCGATGTAAGTGCGATTTTACACTTTAAAGTGGAAAGCTCATCTATTAATGGTTGTCTAAATTTTTCAAATTCCTTGTATGAATCCCTAGTAATTGTTGGTCTAGAGTGTGGATCATAATGGCCATTAGCATGTCGCATTAACCTAACAAACGCGGGATGACTAGGTGTAGAGAAAGAATCTCCCTTGTGTATAATGTACCTAACAATTTCGGATCTCTCAATCTTTCGGTGAGATGTGAAACCGGAGTCACTAAGTTGAGTTTGTGTCGTAGAATTTTGCATGTCTTTCAAGTGTTTTTCGGCATGTCGTTTAAGATGACTAGTCCCCGCATTGGCTTTAGCGGATAAAACATGTTTGCATTTTTTACACTCGGCCACATCATTACCGGTTTTAGCATCCTTAGAAATTCTAAAATAATCTAACCAAATGGAAGTTCTTTTTGTTTCTTTCGATTCATTAGTTTTACCCTTCCCTTTTCCTTTAGACATCGGTGGGGTGAGATTACTACTAGCACTAGGTTTTGTACCCTTATATTGAACATCATCATCATAATCATTATTATCATCCTCTTCATCATCATCTATAATTGGGATTGGCTTAGAGCAATAGGGAGTTGTTTCGGAATCAAAATCGGTATAAGGGGGAGTTGGTTCGGGAACATAATCGGTATGATGCTCATAATTCATAGATTCGTTAAGCAGAGCAATTAAACTATCATGACCATCTATTTCGACTGTATCATTAACGGGGCTACGGGGGCTGATATTCCAATCCATATTTTTCAAATAAAAACTAAAATAAAAAATAAATTTTGCAAATAATTAACAATATATATTCACAAATAGCAAAGCATGATATAGTTAAAGTAAACAACAATAATTTTTTAAAATAATTCGAAATAAACTGAAGAATAAATAAGTTACCCAATTTGGAGAAATTGAATCTTGGTTTGAAGAAATTGAAAAGCAATCCCTTTCTGGAGTGTCGTTTCTCCCTCGATTTTCTTCAATTCCTTCCAATCTCTTCTTCGGATGTATATAAAATATTGTGGAGATTCTAGAGATATGGTGGAAAATATTTTGAAATCTAAGAGAAAACTAGAGCAAATTAGAGAGAGCTTTGGGATAATGTCAAATTGACAATAGAGAATAGATGGGAGTTGATTGAATTGTGTGAAAATATTTGAGAATTTATTGGTATTTATAGATTGAATAAGAAGCCCAAAAAAAAAAAGCTGAGAAAAGAGCTGTTGGGGGGTGAAGAAAGAGCTGTTGAGTTTTCTGTAAAAAGTTACAGCTCTTTTCAAGGAAAAAAGAAAAAGAAAAAATAAAATAAAAAGGAGAGAGAGTACAAAACGGATTTTTTGAGAAAAAAAATTGGGCCAATGGCGGGCCAGGCCTGGCGGGCGGCCCACGAGCCCGCTACGGGCCACGGGCCAGCCCAGCCCACGGACTAAAACTGATGCCCAGCCCATGGACTTATATTGCTGGGCTGGGCGGGCTAAATCCACGGGCTTGCTGCGGGCGGGCTTCACGGGCCTGGGCTACGGGTGGGCCGCGGGCCGACGGGCCTGGGCCGAATTTTGTTCATCACTACAACAATCTAATTTCTAAAAATATGCTTCCAAATTCCTAAAAAATTGCTACCAAATAAAAAAAAAAAAGTATTTTCGGACTTTATTTTTTTATTTTTTATTGTTATATTATTTTCGGACTTTATTTAGCTATTTTTTATTTATTTTTATTTATAATATTTTTTAATAAAAATATTTTTTTTTTTATTTTTTTAAACAAAAAATTGAATTTTTTTTCTCGACAGGTTTGCAACGCCGAATATGACTATAGTTGAATATGACTATATGTGACTATATTAACTGCACTCATATTCTTTCTTTATATTGTTGTTTTTTACATTTTGAACTTAAAAATTCCGATTATATGGCATAGTCATGTTTACCAAATCATATAAAACAACGAAACCCTATTGCTTACGAAAACTATCCAATCAACATCCACATAAAAAATCACAATTTGAATCTAGTTCTTAGAAGTCAACTTGAAAACGAGAAGATAGAGCATATTCAACAATAGTCATATTCGAACATGACTACAGTCATATTCGAAAGATACATAAATATGACTATAGTCATATTACTGCTGCTGTTCAGATCTACACCGAAAAAACTCTCTGAAAACACTCCAATTTTTCATGCATCTTCCGATGAATCGAAATAAACCTAAATGAAAAGAAGGAAAAAAAACAAACACGAAACTAACAAAATTGTGCATCATAACAGGAAAAATTAATTAAGTTCTCACTTGAAACCGACTCTTCAACTCACTTGACCTACAGTTGAAGTCTAGGCGTCTGCAAAGATTTAATTTCAGTTCACAAATTTTGAGAAACTCGGATAGCAAATTGTCTTGCCCAACGCTAATATTCCTCGCAACATCAGCTGGAGCCCAAGACTGCAACGACTCCAGAATTCTATCACCAAGTTCGACTCCCTTCATCTGTTCGACACAAGTTTCCAAAGTCTTGAACACTTTGCCCTGCCCGTTTTTCTCAACTGAAGAAATATGTATTCAAATTTTTCATCACTGGGTTGAAACTGTATTTTCGTATCTGGAAAAAAAAAAAAAAAAAAGAGAAATCGAAAAATACATAAATAAAGATAGAAAAATAACGACAGAGATTGAGGGGGAGTCGACGACAACGTCGGTGGTGGCGGTGGTGAAGGAAAGAGAGTGAGAGAGTCGGCGATGGTGGTGGACAAATCTGAAGATTTTTTTTTTTTTTTGAGAAATCAAGAAAGATAACGAAAAAGAGAGAAAGTGCCTTACGTGCACTACTAGAGAATTGAGATTTAGCTACGGATGTTAGCGACGGATAGCAGATTTGTTTCTAAAAAGGATACTTTGCGAGAGAATTAGCGATGGACGACATATTTGTCCCTTTTCTAATGAAACGTCAGGTATAGCGATGGCCATTAGTGACAGATGACAAATCCGTTTCTAAAATAATTGGTGTAGCAACATCTTTAGCAACTAACGATCGATCCGTTGCTAATAATAAATTTATGTTAGTTATTATGATTTATTTATTAAAAGTATTTAATTTATCTCGACTCTTCGTACAAGTCTTCATCCCTTTTCCAGTTCCCTATCCTCCCATTTCCAATCTTATTTTTTTGCTCAACCCCTTTCCAATCTAATCTCGCTTCAGCCCTTTGCCAGCCTCGGTCCTCGTATCTTGCTGTCTCACTCGATTCGTCATGTGGTCGCCGATTTCCAATTGCTGTTATATGGGACTGTTCGTTGATTTCCAATTTCCATATTCGGACGCCTTCTTATTTCCCACCAGCCACAGTCGTTGCGACTGCAGTTGTTCGTCGTTAAAGGTGTTCACATCTGAAATAGCCCTAATTTTGGTTAGGTAAATTCATTTTGCTTAATATTTATGAATTAGGTTTTTATGTGGTTTCTATGTGTTTAGTGTTCTGTAAGATAAAAAACCTAATTTCTTGAGTATTTGGGTTGCTGCTAAAACCCCTCGATTTTCGCCCCTTGCAAAATTTTGCGTAGTTTTTATAATATGCTAGATTATTTGATGTGTTTATGTTTTAGAAATTGTTTGCTTAAATGCCATTAATCGTGATGGTTTTCAGACTTCAATTTTTTCTAGTGGATGATATTGAAGAAAGTTCAATCTTTCCTAAAATTATTTTCCATTTTTTATTGATTTTGGAATGAAATGTGATCAATAAATATGGATTTTGAGTGTTCCATGTGTTGGAATTCGAATAACTCTTTGAACTGGTGGTGGTTGTGCTGATATGTATTTTTCACTATTGTCCTTGCTTTAGAATAGCATAGAAGTAGATCAACAATTCTCAACTATCAGATCTCATAGTGTACAACCTTCTGATAGTAATAGGAAGTGTACACCTTGGCACACATTGAAGATAGATAACAGATGTTAGAAGAACCAATGATGTTTAATAAAGGACTTATGTAGACTTGTTAGCTAGCATGTGCACATGTACTATGTCCCAACCTTAAACTAGAAGTTCTCTTTTAGTCTTTTTTGTTGTTATTGTATTTATGCATTTTTTTATGTTCTTTTATTATTTTTTTTCCGGTTTACTACTGTCGATTATGTTGATTCAAGAATTTATTAAAAAATTAGAAGAGTTTACCGGTCTTGATTGTATCTTTATGTACTAATCAAATTTTATTCCGATATTGAAATTCTTATGGCTAATCATGTATAGGTATTGGATTCCAACATAATATGATTCACTTACGTTGATTGCTCATTGTCCTATTATAGTTTTTTTATATCTACTGCAGGTTTGTTTATATCTTGGTGTGTTTGAGTTCAATCATGTCTATTAATGATATGCATATTGTCACTTTGCAGGCATGCTAGATTTTGATATTCTGCGATAGATGAGCTTATGAGGTATGTTATGTTTTATATACTTTTATAACTTACTACTAAGTATAGCAATTAATTTATGTCGTTCTGATTAAAGTGGTTTCTTGGGCACTTTACATACTTTTACCATGTATGACATTCGTTTACTGTAGTTTTCTTATATTGTTATTATAGTTGGTATTGTGCTTGCAGAGGTTCCTTGATCATTGTGTTTGATTTGCTGTTGCATTAAATATTTTAGCTGTCAATTCCACAGCTTGCCTAACTAGGTACTGATTATTTTTATTTTATAATTTCTTGTCAATCTTTGCAAATTAACCTGGTTAACACAAGGTCTCACACTTCCCAGCTTTATTTCAGACTGTTGGCATTGAGGTGGCTTAAGCATATAATTTTACTTGTAAATCTTAATCATGACGTAGATTATTTCTGGTATTTGACTTTGACAGGTAAAAAACACAGGTCTTGTCAACATATTTTCAATGAATTACCAGGCAACGTGTAGAATTTGTTCGGTCAGTAGTCTATGCATGATCAAAAGGTAATCATTCATGAGAATGTTCATATTTGTGTCCTGTATTAGTAGTTTACTGCTAGTGCTAGTGGATTTGATGTAGGAGGTGAAAAATGTATATTTCTAATTATAATTATTTGTGTTTTCTTTGTTTGAATAGGGAGAAGTCCAATATATTTTATTGAGGTGCTACTAGATGGATGTGAATAGCTCCAAAATATATCTCCAAGGTTGTAGCAGAAGATAAGTGGAAAACTGGTGAAGCAACATTATTCTGCTACAATTATGAAATTGTTTGGATGGTTTTTTATTACTGATGTTGGACAAAATTAAATTTATCAAAAATGCAATTTTGTAAGTTATGGATATTGTAATTATTGATTCTATCAATGGTAATTTTTTATTTTTATTTTCTGTTTTTAATTTAATTTATGTTAATTGGAAAAGTGTGGTGTTTGTTTTGTGGATTCAATTGTTGCTATATAATATACTGAAAATAATATTAGAATGTGGGATTTGTATATTTAATATTTTTTTCAAATTATTACAAACTTTGCGATGAATTTTGCAACGGATATCCCTATACATAATTAGCAACAGATTTGGTGATGGAATTTTTGCTACAATCCTAGCGACGGATATTGTGACGAAATGTTTGTCAAACAAATCGCAATTGTTGCAACGGACAGTACGACGGATGTCTCCGTTGCTAAACTTTGCGACGGATTATATGCCGGCGTAGCTAAAATTAGCGACGCGGCGTTTATCTACGGATTTAGTTACGGGTTTCATCTGTCGCTAAATTATCATTAGCGACGAATTCGGTCTATGTTGCAACGAATCTGTCCGTCACTAAATAGCAATTTTCTAGTAGTGGTGGAAACGAAGGAGGAGACGGCGGCAACGAGCGGTGGTGGTGGTGTACAAATCTATGTGGAGACGATGGTGGTGTAAAGAGAGAGAAATCGAGAGAGACAACGCACACGAGAAATTAATAAATCACTAATCGAGTGAATCAACAATAGTCATATTCGAACCAGACTATAGTCACGTTGATGCTGCTGCTTCAAATCTGGAGAGAAAAAAAAAAAGAAAAAATTCGAAAATGACGAAGGGGAGGGAGGCGGAGCCGACTACAACGACGGTGAATGAAAGAGAGAGTGGGGAGGCGGCTATGCCGCTATGGTGGTGGTGGTGGCCGGATCTGGAAAAAGAAAAGAAAAAAAAAACCTGAGATATCGAGAGAGATAACGAAAAAAGGGAATCTCTATGTAGAAATCACGCATCCAACGAAAGGCGGCGAACGGACTACGGCGGTGGTGTGAAAAAGAGTAATGCAAGCGTCGGTGGTAACACATCTGCATAAAGAAGAATAAAAAAGAAGAAAAAATAAATTGAGAACGAGAAAGAGAGAGAGAGAGAGAGAGAGAAAGTGAAATAGTGAGATAAAATTATATCACGTTAAAAATCTAATTACATAAGGGTACTTTAGTCTTATCATGTCTGGTCAGGGGGTCTCACTAATTAAGAATAAAACTTGGGTATAGACAAAAGTTTTTAAAGGACAATTGAATTTACTTCAAAATATTTTCCATTTGAGGGGGTATTGCATATTTCCCCTCTAGTTAATGTATATTTCGAATTGTATGTGAAAATCACTAGATGGACATTTATACCCCTATTCTTAAAACTTGTAAAAGCACGTCGCTCCTTATCCAAATTCCAAACTTGCTGACAAACACAAATTTTTTTTACGTGTCCATGGAAACCTCAGCCCATACACGTGTCCTACAAAAACCCCCTCTCATTTGACCGTTTCCCAAAAAATAATGAATAAAAATAAAATTAAAATAAATCAAAACCGCCGCAAATCAAGACACGTGGCAGCACCTGGTCCGTCATCCGGAGGCAGTCCCGTGAGCTGACCCACATTTCTCTCTCACCTATTTAAATATTTTCTCCTCAAATTTTGCTTACCCAACACAAAAAAATCAAAATTCCGGGTGCGATTTCTCCTCCTCTCAATTTTGAATTCTCAATTTTCAACCTCTCGAAATTAATTCAATTTTTTTTTAATTCTTTTTTCGGAGAGAGAATTTTTTTTTGTTAGGATCTCTGAAAAAAAAAATCGCTCAACCAGATTATTGTGGCTTGAAGAAATTCGATTTTGCTTTTTTTTTTGCTTTTTTTTTTTTTTGAATTCCCCAAATTTCTGGTTTATGATTTGCTTCGCATTTCAAAGACCTAATAATTTGATTCCAAGCGAACGCCGTTTCCGAATTAAGATCGGTATAATTCCGAAAGGCAAATTGGAATTCAGTAGCGGAATTCCGTTCACCGGAAAGTATTCTCGTTTTTCGTCGAAGGTGATACTCGAACCGCCTAGGAAGAGAAGAGGAGGAGGAGGAAGGATGGTGAAGAGACCAAACGGCGACGCCGCCACCGTAATGCTGACGTCAGGGGCGAGCGGTAGGGTTAATGTTCTGCTTTCGCTGCGCGCGTTGAGGAGCGTGTGGCGGCTGATCAGCGCGTTCTTCATGATTCTCCTGCTGCCGTTCCGCGGTAGGCGGCGGTGCATGGTGGTGGGGGCGGCGCCGGATTCGCCGGAGAAAGGCGGCGGGAGGGAAGAGAAACCCTCGGCGGCGACGGGGAAGGTGGTGAGGGTTCCCGCGGCGATGGTGCCGAGGAAGAGCGCGGCGGCGGCTGTGGATAAAGAGGTGGCGGCCCGGCGGGCGCTGGCGATTAGAAAGGTGGTGGAGGATAATGGAAACGGAGACGGTGAGGATACTGTGAGGGAGTTTTCGTTGTTTGTTACGTCGAGAGGCGACACCATTTTTACTCAGTCATGGACACCTGTTAAGGTTCAAGTAAGGTAATTTTTCCATTTTTTTTTAATAATTTGTTTTATTATTATTGCATTTTGATTTACCAACTTTTATTAGTGCAAAACTGAATACAGTCTTGGTTTTTAAGTAATTTTATTTTTTCTGGTTATAACAAGTGTTTGATATTATTGTTTTTACTATTTCATGCTTCATTTTCATGTCACTTTATTCTCTTTCTTCGTAATCTTTCGATTGTGGCTACATTGTTAGCTGCCGAAACCAATTGATTGGTCCATACGAAATTAAGCAATTTAACCTTAGTATTGCATTTGCATCCTCTTTACTGGCACATGATCAACTTGCGTAGAAATCTATGCTATTCAAGTTTAAACATAAACTGAGTCGATAGTTCCAATTGCTTGTTAGTTATTTGGATACAAAATATAAATATGAAATCGGATAGATGAAAAGGTGGAGCCAAATTTCGGAATTGTATAACAAGAAAAAAATACTGCAGTGTCTTGAAAATATGGTTCACACTAATATTACTGTATGTGTTAACATATGGTTCCTCTTGTGATTATCGGATGTTAGAGATTCCGAGAGTGCCAATTACATGAGTGGTAACATCAATGGAGCCATATTTGTCCATATTCAATAAGTTGATGTTAGTGATGTCACGTAGCTGCACCCGAGTATATATATAGGGACTTGAAGTTAAAGATCAAGAATATTCCGAAAAAATATGCATTGATTGGGTACACTGAAAATGGTCCAAGCCGGCTTTTATGAGGCTGACTCTAGTTTTCTTTTGAGCCTTTTTTTTTGGATTCCTGTTAATTATTGTTGCCAATGTTATTTGGTCAGCTGAATGTCTAAACTCTTACGGGAAACTAAAAATTAGAAGAAAGACGGCTCTTTGTTTTTTTCTTTTTCGTCTTACTCAACTTAGTCAACTAATTAACAAGAAGATTTTGGTAAACAAAACATAGGTTGCTTTGAACATATATGACCGATTTTTTTTCAGTCAATGATACAAGGAAATATAAACCGGAAATTTATATCACTCCATTAAATCCCGCAGTCTGAAATAGGAAATGTTAATAATTCAAGTCTTCCATGAGCTCAGGTTTACTGTTTTGATATAGTCGGAACTTGATTTGTGATTTTAATCACGGCAAAGATGCAATATAATCAAAGGGAAAGTAGCATTTCTTTCTTATACTGAATTTGATTTTATATGTTTTTATTGCATGCAGGGGACTGGTTGTTCTCTTACACGGTCTGAACGAACACAGGTCTGTACTCTACCCAATACATAGTATTTTTTGATCTGATGTAATTTCATTTCATTCTTTAATATCCTTCCCTAGTGCTAAATGTCGGTGTATTTTTTTATAGTGGAAGATATAATGATTTTGCCAAGAAATTGAATGCAAATGGCTTCAAGGTTTACGGAATGGATTGGATTGGTGAGTTAAAACCAATCATATCTGGCATTTTTTTTCTCTATATTTTTTATAAATAGTTCTCGTTGTAAGATATCTGAGTGGTAATACTGTAATTATCTATTTTGGATTTGAGAAATGGTATAAGGGTGGGATCTTAATTTTTAATATGTTCTTACTTGCAATCGCCTGTTTTGCTGCTCCATGGTTTTAATTATGTTACCATCGGACAGAGGGGGACGAAGAGGAAAACTAGTTGAGGTAGATTCTACTTTCAATATGATTTTTTTGCATGAGAAATATCTTCGATGTGTTTACTAGCTGTGCTTATATGATTGTTATTGAAGGTTTTAGGTGTAAGGATAGACTAAAATCTGGTTCAATCTGCCCGTAGAAAAGTATTTGTTAATATTGTTTTGAATCATTCAGTGATTGGTGTGGTCTTTCTTGGTTAACTACAGCACGTTGTAGGATTTATTCGGCAGCGAGAAACGTTTTTGTAACTGTGAAATTGAAAAAGTGTGCTTGCATGTAAAAAGTACGAAATATTTAACAATTTTGTCACAAAAAACAGCCAAGACAGAGAGCCATGTTTGTTTAATATATGGCAGTGTCTAGATATCATTAGACTTCAACTATGCAACATATATTTGGATTGTTGCAGGGCATGATTATATTTCAATGTGGGATGCCATTGGTGCTTAAAAGTAACATGTGAAAGCCGTCCTCCATCAGTAAGCTTTGCTATTTGAGTCTTTACATATGCATGTAATTACACTTAAGCAACTCAGTTAATACAAGGAGGGGTCGTTCTTTTTTTTTTGAAATCTCGATATCTGAAAACAACAACTGGAAAAGGCTTAAAAGAAACATATTGTGAAACGATTGCTCCTTCTCGAATTTAGGTCTTTTGTGTTTTATGAGAGGCTATTATTATTCGATTGTTCTGTCAAATAATATAGGCTATGTGAAAGATCCCGTACTTGAAAGATATGTAGCTCGTATTTCATCGGTCTTATTTGTACCCTATTTGCAGGGCACGGTGGTAGTGATGGACTTCATGCATATGTTCATTCACTTGATTATGCAGTTAATGATATGGTATGTTTGGCAAATGATTATTGTTACGTAACATTTAGGAATTTTTTTTTCTGATGTACGCTTCTTTTTTATGTATGGTGCGTAGAAAATGTTTCTTGCCAAAGTTTTAGCTGAAAACCCAGCACTTCCCTGCTTCTGCTTTGGACATTCGACCGGTGGAGCTATTGTTTTGAAGGTATAATATTTCGGAACATGATTATTAATTGCATTTTGACGTTATTTGTTTCTTAATCTGATTTTCATTGTACAAAAATGGATTAATATTAATTACTTATCTATATTCATGAACAGGCATTGCTCGATCCCAAAGTGAGACAGCGTGTAGCTGGCATCGTATTGACTTCGCCAGCTGTCGGAGTACAGCCTTCGCATCCAATTTTTGCTGTAAGTGCCGAAAGCTTTCACGAGTTAATATTGATCATTGCAATTAATCCTCGTTTGGTTGGCAAGATTATAAGTCATGATTAATGAAATGAATAATTTGTGGCCTTATTTGGTGTTTGGTTATTCCAATAACTTCCCGTCGAACTCGACAATTTTGGGGTCTAATCTTAGGCCTCGTTTGGTTCTAAGATAACATTAGCAATATTCTAATGGAAACCTAATTGTATTATTTGACCATGGGAGGTCCAATAAACAGTCTACCTAAAACGCAACATACGGCATGATAAAATAATATTTCCGGGTGGACTCGGAGAATTATTCGGTTTACCAAACATCAAGCAAAGCCCAATTATTTTGTTAATCATTGCTAATCCCCCAAACTAAACAAGGTCTAAAGTTTATTAGAAAATTGTATATATTTTTATTTTGACAAAAAACCATGGCGCTTATTATTAGGTGCTTGCTCCGGTTATTGCATTCTTGTTCCCAAGGTTTCAATTCAGTGCAGCAAACAAGAGAGGCATAGCAGTTTCTCGAGATCCAGAGGCTCTAGTGGCGAAATACTCGGATCCATTGGTATTCACCGGATCCATTAGGGTGAAAACGGGCTACGAAATCCTCCGAATAACGGCCCATATTCAGCAGAACTTGACCCGTCTAACGGTCCCGTTTTTAGTCCTTCACGGCACAGACGATTCGGTAACGGACCCCCAAGCCACACAGAAACTGTACGATGAGGCCTCGTCGAGCGATAAAACTATCAAGCTCTACAAAGGACTGTTGCATGATCTTCTTTTCGAACCCGAGAAAGAAGAGATAACGGAGACTATCATTAATTGGTTGGATAGTAGATTGTGATTAGTGAATCCGGAGATTCGAATAACCACAAAAAGGTTAACGGTTACTTTTTATTTCGCTCGAGCGAACGCCTTTCTTGATGAATAATATTTTTATGCAGCTTTTGAGATGCAATGTAATTTCATCAAACATCCATAACTACTACTTGAATAACTAGCCTTTTTGTAATTGAGTTTTTTCCTCAGTCAATCAATGTATGTATGAAGCTCAGCTACATTTGTATCTATTATCCTATCTATCTTATACTAACTACTAAAAAATATGATGTTGGCAAGTTTTTTTCATTTTACTTTTTTTACCAAAATGCCCCTATACAATGCATAAATTTTATTAGGGTAAATTACACCCACATCCCTGAGGTATGCTTAAATAATTTTAAGGTCCCTATGGTATCGATAATTACTGTCACCCCCCCGAAACGTAGTTAGAAACTCTAACGGGATAATGCATTGGATACATTATTCCGATAGGCTTCTAATGGACTATTACTTATAGCTAGTGATGCAGATAATGTAGAGTTATGGGGAGTTATGGGGTGACATGGCTCCCCCAATATTTCTTAAATCACGCTTTACTCTTTGTTGTCTCCACCACTTCCTGAAACCAATAGTTCGTTAGAACTCTAACGTAATAATGTATCCAATGCATTATCCCATTAGAGTTTATAACTACGTTTCAAGGGGGTGAGTGTAATTATCGATACCACAGGGACCTTAAAGTTATTTAAGCATACCTCAGGGGTGTGAGTGTAATTTACCCATTTTATTATTAGCAAAGTTAGTTTGAAGTAAAGTTTTCTTTCCCCTTCTTTTCTATCTTCAAGATTAATTGTGTCACTATATTATTGTTAAAAAAGTTATGTCATTATATTATCATTTCTCAATTCATAATTGAATGGGTGGTTGTAATTACCTAAATGAAAGAGGTTTTCTCGTAATTTGACCTTACCTCAGGGAGGGGTCGTAATTTACCCTTCTAATTATGGACACTTCGAAATAGAGAAGATCTGTAACACACTTGTTGAGAATAAAAGCGTACCTTTATTTGATATATCTCCACAGCACAACTTACACGAGTTTTTAGCAAGCGGCACCCATATAATATGTCTAATTTTCGAAAAAGTCCTTGTGTTAAAAAATTAGCATATACCCCCCTATGATCATAAGTCAGAGCCAATAAAGCCCTAGCGAGTTGATCGTGCGTTACACTCGCCGATTATGCGACTGGGAGTGTATTTTTTGACTTGAAAATACCAAAATACCCTTTAAATTATTTTTTTTGAAAATTACAAAGTCACCCCATAAAAAACCTATCTTTCAGTTTTGTCCTTAACATTTTTAAAAAGGTCAAATCAACCATCCATTACCACAAATCATCTTTATCTTCCCTTTTCCGGCGAGCCCATGAGATTAAGAAGGAGAATCCCATCAGCGCTCGGGTTTCAAGAATTCGGATTGTAAGATTGTTTTCTTATCGTCGGCTATTAGTTCGAGGTGGGGGCGCCGCCGCCTTGTCAATCGTAAGAGGTGTTGGATTGGGTGGGGAGGACATGGTGCCCATAACACCGATAAGAGGCTTCCGATTTGGAGAGATTTTTACTTGAATTTAGCGTTGGTTTTGAGCTCGATGTCGAGAGGACATCTCCGAAGCTGTAGCTGCCGACGACAAATGTATCGTCTCTAATGTCCATCTCCAGACTTCAATTCTTAGTCGCGAAGAGAGATGGTGGAAATTGATGTGTCTTGGAGAGGAACTGAATCAAACCGTTGCGGAGCATAGGGCAGAGGCGACGAAGATGGTAGATTATGGAGGAGGCGACGAGTGGTGTTTTTGAAGAAGATGACTTATTTTATTTTATTTTTATTTTTATTATTTTATATTTAGTGCATGCATATTTTGCATTATCTTTTGGTTATAAATTTAAAATAACTATTTTGGTTTTTTTTTTTGTATATTTTTTATTTTAAATATTTTTTTTAATATAATTTTTTTTTAATAATTACTAAAATAAAGGATAATGTAGCATATTTTTTATAAAGGTAATATAGTCATTTCATTTTAGTTAATATTTTTTTTCGAATAGAGGATGGTGGGCTAAATTAATAAAATTCATCATAGGAGAGTAAATGCTAATTGTTTGAACCTAGGGTTTTACTGGCAATTAGACTTTTCACAGGGGTGTATGCAATTAACTCCAACTTAAACAGTAACACACTTCTATGAATAACTACTAACATTTCTTTATTCTTAATAGACAATTTACAACCATACGACACTTATGAACAACAAGAAAGTAGTATGTCATAAGATAGATATTTTTCTTATTGTCTAATATTTGATAATTGATATTCTAGGATAGACATTCAAAATATATTATATGATAATTGTATTATTGAAACTTTGCATTAACTTTTAACTTCTTGGTTATTTTTTATTTTATGTTAGTGAATACGTCTAAACAGTACTACTACTACTACGAAAACAAGCCATCGTGACGCCTTAAACTGTCACGATATTGTTTGTCACCGTGCCCGTATTCGTCCAGTGGATGAATGTCGTACGTTGTTGTCGTTGATCAGCCGAGATCAACCCATCCGAATTAATTATAATTATCTAAATAATTCAACTCACTAAAACTTTAATTCGGCATACATGATCATAAAAAATTCCACATGCAAGACTCTAAAATATAATACGAATGCATGTGAGGAAGCGTATTGAAAATATAGATATCAAATAATTCACCTGACTAAAAATTTAAAGAGACATGTACTCCAGATAAAATCAACATAAAATAAATGAAAAATAAAACGAGATATATCTCGTATGTAGGGATGGCAATGGGTACAGGTTTGGCGGGTCTTGGACCCGGAACCGACCCGTTTGGGACGGGTCTGGGTCAGCTAAAAGGTTCTGGGTCGGGTTACGGGTCTTATTGAAACCGACCCGTATATATATATATATATATATATATATATATATATATATATATATATATATATATATATATATATATATATATATATATATTTTCGGATTTCATTTATCAAACTATCAATTTTCATCTTGTCTATTCTCATTTACCTATTTTCACTGTTTTATTTTTTGAATTCCATTTCTCGTGAGTAATATTTATCACTTGTAGACCACCACTAATTGTCTTGTATTTTTACTTATTATCGAAGTTAAATATAATTAATTATAATTTTATTGTTCATGTTTATATCACTTGTAGAGATTTTTTAAAATATTGTATTTTAGTATTTAGATTGTTTCGTAAAAATATACAAGCAAAATATTATGAAAGTAAAAAAATATTAAACTTTTTGCATGTTAAAAGGTCTAGCGGGTCTGACGGGTCAGAACCTTTAGTTAGGGTCTGGGTTGGGGCGGGTCTTGGGTTTATATATTTTTCGTGGGTCGGGTCTTGGGTTTAGGCAAACGCGGCCCAGAACCGACCCATTGCCATCCCTACTCGTAAGGTTTTCGAGCTATTGCACGAGGGTATATACTTTTAAGGATTTCTTTCTCAATAATTTTTTTTTTTTAAAGTAGGAAAATATCTTAATTAAGTAGGTAACTGTAGAATTCTAACCAAATCAAAATGTATAGTAATATAGGACCACTGAATTTCGAAATAAAGTATTCATAGTTGTATAGTACTTTGTCCACAAGTCCTAATTAGTAATTACAACATCCTGATTGGTCGTTGCAAAATCATCAATAGAGATTATTGATAATTGCCGAGTCATATTGACAACCAATTTTCCAACTCTCTCTCTCACACACAGACACACTAACTAGGTGAAAATAAACTTTAACCAATACTTTCAACTTATGTTATGTTTAGTTGAATGACCATCTCAACCAAAAGCTTAAGCTGTTAGTGAAATGTATTATTTAATATTAATATCTTCAATAATCTAATGTAAAATCAAATTACGAAAAAAAATCTCTCTTATTTGGGTAATTACAATCACCGTCATCAGCTAAGTACAGTTATACATCCATTCTTACGGTGTCAAATTTACTTACTGATAAGAGATTGTTTCGTAAGAAAAAATGTAGTTGATGAGGTAATTGTAATTATTCAAACATGAGGGATTTTTTTTTCGTAATTTAATCTTACCTCAAGAGTGCCCGTAATTTGCACTTGGATATTTCGATCTCAATTTTGCCAATTTCTTGGTGACAAAAAAAAATAATCTTCTAAATCCCTTAACTCGAATACTATTATTAGAAAGAAAAATAAAATAGAAAAGGATATATTATTGAATATGCCAAAGTTAAGGGCCTGCACAACAAATTTGGCACCATGCCAGTATATTAATCCTGACTTATTGAGAAAGTTGAAATTTAATATTGTCCAGATGAAAATAACATAAAGAACTAAAGAATATATATATTAATATTATTGATGTCGATCACTTAAAATGTAGCTCATAATAATTCTCGAATTAAAGAGTTGATTGAGAATGCGTGTAACGCAATATCGAAAGTAGAATTTATTTACTTGTAGAAAATAAAACATGCACCTTAAAATGAAATGATAGATTACTTGTCATTGAAATTAGAGAATTTAGTTTATAGAAATGTGAAGTGATTCTTTTTTTCTTCACTCAAAGTGTCTCTTGGAAAAATTATGTCGTCGTCTGCATCAACAACTCGCTAATTGCACGAGATATGTAAATTTATAAAAAAAAAAAAAAAATAGAGTAATCATGTGTAATTAATTCGACTTAAAAACATTGAAATTTGAGTTTGAATTCAGTTCGAAAATCTTATTATAACATTTTTTTTTATTAGTAGTGTCAATTGAATGTATTGGGTGATAGTATATCAAATATATCTATTATCGTTTTAGTTAAAAAGAAAAAAAAGTGAAAGGAAAAATTAATGAAAGCCGCCATTTTGAAATTGTATTGTAATAGGTTCATGTTTGGAAATAATTAGTGATAAACTCCTCTTTATTTTTTTTCGCGAATTCTAGATTACATTATATTTTTTCGCGAAATTCTGGATTAATCCGTACGTAAAGACTATGGTGTTTGTGTACTTGATTTATTAATCGACTATAGTTGATTAAAAGATTAAAACATATATTTGACTTAAAAATAATAAATCGACTATAAAAGAAACATAGTTGATATATTAATCAACTATAGTCGATTACGTAAACGTACTGTCACATAACGATACTAAAATCAATGAAGGAAAAAGCCGGAGTGCATGGGACGGATCAGAGAAGTCTGCCACGCGATGCGTAAGTCTGGACCGTAGAGGAGAACGTTGTCGGTTTATAAGAGGAGGGTTGTTTCAATATCGGTAGTCGACGTGTTAGATGTCCAGATGGCGGTGCCTCGACAACAGTAAAGGTGTTTGATGTCCAGATGGCGGTACCTCGGCGATGGCCGTCAGTGAGGTGAGGATAAGGTAATCGTGGGTATATAGGGCAAAGAGGAGTGTTGTATTAGTATTAAAAATATAATTTTTGTTTAGTGAAGAAATCGAGGTTGGACCTCTCACTATTATTATAATATTATAATATTATAATATTTGTTGGGCTATATCTAAAAGCTCCAAACAAAACTATAATCAACTTTAATGATTTCTAATAATTAATTACAAAATTCTGAGATATGTCGTTATAACTTATAATCAACTTTATTAAGATTTAACGAACCTAGAAATTGACTAAAACATGGTCCCCTACCTAAGGATCATATTCACTTTTCACCTTTTTTTTTCATTTTTCATTTTTTTTTATGAATACTAAAATGCATATAAAATTAGGATTTAACGAACCTAATATTTGACTAAAACATGGACCCCTATCTAAGGATCATATTCACATAGCACCTTCTTTTTTGGGTAAATTACGGTCATCACCCTAAGTCAAGGTTAAATTACGAAAAATTCTCTATTGTTTGGGTAATTACAACTAACTCATTCAACTATGAATCTTCTTACACGTCCACCATTATGTTGTCAAATCAACATAATCTTCTACATTATGTAGAATATTCTCTAGTTTGTACTCGTTTTGTGCAAAAATGTAGTTTATGATGCACCACAATCTGATATTTATAAGTCAAGAGATTTATTATGATCATCTTGTTTCAAAATGTGGAGCTCGAATGGGATAGAATGAGTACAAACCGGAGAATATTCCACATGATATGGAAAATTCTACTAAATTTGACACCGCAAAGGTGGACGAGCAAGAACATTCATAGTTGAAGGGGGCAGTTGTAATTATCCAAACATAAGGGATTTTTTCGTAATTTTTCCTTACCTCAGGGGTGGTGGCTGTAATTTACCCTTTTTTTTTCTTTTTGTTTTTTTTTGTGTGAATACTACTAAAATGTATTAAAATATTCAATTCAGTAAAAAACAATTAATTTCTTTAGCCAATGGCAAACGTTTATAAAATAGCTGAATAGGACAGTATTAATTGTTTAATTAGTGGTGAAGCTGACTATTTGATTTATCTAATTGTACTTAAACATTAACCCGATACCTTAGTTTATTAAATAACAATTAATATCAGCACCAAACATTACTTTACCTTTAATTAGATCTCCGGCCAGCCAATCGAATTGGTGTGACTGCAATACAATATGAATGAATGAATGATAATTTAAATGAAATATAAGTGCAATCACATACGTCGTCGTGTTGATTTGTTTGTTATATTTGCTGCGTTTCGATTGCTAATTGGGTACTCACGACAATAAATATTTAATGTAGATAGATTCATAAATTGTTTACTGGGATCTCTAATTTGGCGTAAATTTACGTTGAGGTCCCTGGCACACTAATTTTATTAATCGAGGTACATCCTAAATTATTTCGTTTTGACCAAAGACCCATTTGGTTAAGTTATAAGTCCATGGTGACAAATCTTATTAGAACTAATGACAAGTCTAACTAAAATTTGCTTGACATCCTTTATCAAAATTCATTCTAAAAATGCCCCTCCACTCACAAATTCGAAATTACATCAAATTGTAAATATTCTATGGGGTACTATGGTTAGAGCTGGCAATCGGGCCATGTGAGCCGAGCTTGGGTCGGCTCAAGCTCACATACCATCGGGCCTCGTTACTATAAGCTCAAGCTCACATGTCATCGGGCCTCATTAGAATAGGCTCAAGCTCGGCTCATGTATTTTTTCGGGTTTCGGGTTTATATCGGACCCCATTACTATATAATTGTAGTGAGTAAATTTTTTTATAAAAATAATTGATGAACAAGATTTACCTCCATTGAAGCCAATAAAAAAAAAAACCCTAAACGATCTTTGAAAATTTCTGAAAAACTTGAAAATAAAATCGAAAGAAGTGAAAAAAGATTAGCAACTCTTATTATTGGAAACATTTTATATTCTCAAATCTCGGTGATATGTTGCATTTGATTCATATTGAACTTATTGCCACCGTCACTACTTAATTCCTTTTATTTTGACTTTTTCTTCGCAAAATCAAATAATCTTATACGGTCATGTTGAGTCATAGTATTAAAATAATAAATATATTATATATTTTATTATTATCCTAATCGGTCGGGCCTTATTCGGGTTGAGCCATAGTAGGCTCAAACTCGGCTCATAAATAACTCAGGTTTAATAAAATGGCTCAAACTCGGCCCAGCTCACTAAAAAGTAGGCTCGGCTCAAATATAATCAGGCCGAGCCATCGGGCTTCGGTTAGGCCCGGCTCAATTGCCGGTCCTAACTATGGTATTATTTAACATTTTTAATTTGCATCTAGCATTTTTGTTATTTTATTTTTTTACGTGGAATACGTTTCTCTCTTTTTTTTTTTCATTACTATAAGAGTCTATGTTTTTTTCTGTTTTTCCTACATAATATTAAAAATTATGATTTTTTTAATTTTTTTTCGGTTGTAGGCATCTGCAGACACTCGTAGTTCCGTTTTTGTCAAATAATACAGCAGATTTTAAAACAAAATACTATCGTATGCTATGGTACGCTATGATATACTACGGTAGACTGTGGTGTACTATTCCGAACTCTATCATTCACCAACTCCCAACCGCCGCCAAACCGTAACTTCCAACATCTTCCAGCCACAAATAAATTATAACAACGAACAAATTTCAGCCGCCGCCAAACCCTACCTGCAAAAACCTAGTCGTACACCAACCCTAACCGCCGACCAAATTAAACCTTAGCCATCGACCAAATTAAACCCTAGCCGCCATAGCCGTCGACCAAATTAAACCCTAGCCTACCTGCAAAAATCTAGTCGTCCACTAACCCTAGCCGCCGACCAAAATTTAACCCTCGCCATCAACCAAATTAAACCATAGCCGTCATAGTCGTCGACCAAATTAAACCCTAGCAGTCGACCAAATTAAAACATAGCCGTCACCATCCGCTGTAGATCTTACCTCCACCACCATAGTCGTCATCGCCTCCTGCCTCCATAACTATCCCCTTGTTAATGCCGCATCCACCGCCATAGTTGCGCCATAGCCATCGCCCCCTCTGCAATGGTGAGAAGTGATAGAGAGGGAGAGCGAGATAAAGAGAGACGAGAGAGAAAGAGAGAGAGAGAGAGAGAGAGAGAGAGAGAGAGAGAGAGAGAGAGAGAGAGAGAGAGAGAGAGAGAGAGAGAGAGAAGAAAAATAGATAGAAACATGTAGAATTTATGGATTTAGGTTGATGGCAAATTTGGGATAAAAAAAAAAGTAAAGAATGTGGGTCATATTTATTTTTGTAAAGTTCAGAAAAAAATATTAGGGTTGTATCTCATATCTAATTATGTTTCCAACTAGGGACCTCTAGCATATTAACCCCTACCTTGTAATACCTTTCATCCTCCTTAATTGTCCTTAATAAAATCAATGAAATGTAGAGGGTTAATTCCACTTTGCACCTCTGAAATATAATATTTCGGTACTTTGCACCCTTTAAAATAATTAAGAACATTTTGCCCGCTCAAAACATAATAAATCATTTACAATATACCATGACTTGAATATTTAAAACTTAGTGAGGGTAATTTTAATTTTTATTAGTTCTTTATTTCCAGAGTGTAAATTAATAAATTAAGTTATTATTTTCTTCTACCTCCAACATAAATTCGAGCGTACAAAATGCAAAAAAGGTTTAATAAAATAATAAAAAAATTGCAACAAATAACTGGAAAAAAAAAAAACTATAATTTCTTTAAAAAAACATTTCTCACCGAGTCATCCGATTGATGGTTCTTTTACTGTAATTAGTAAAAATATTTGGTAAAAAATATAATTTTTAAATAACTTGATAACAAACTAGCTCAAGGATTATTATACTTTTTATTTTTTGAAAACATATCTTTTTGTGCAATTTTTTTTAAATGTATTGATCAAATGTACCTTTTCACTTTATAGTATCGAAAAGAATTGATGAATAACAAATATATATATATATATATATATATATATATATATATATATATATATA